GGAGGAGGAGGAGGAGGAGGAGGAGGAGAGGAGAGAAGAGAAAGAAGACAAGACTCTGGAAGTCACAAGCCTGCAGAGTTTCTTTTCTCCCTTCCTCCTTCTCTTAGCATAATTAATTCTGCTCCTTTGCTCTCCTGGCCTCAGCCAGGGAAGCCAGCTGGAGTCCCTGACCCCGCTACTTTCTTGCTGGCTCACCTTTGTCTTGTCCAATCTGATCTGTCCCCTCACCCTTTGCCCTCTGGTTTTCTACCAGGTTCCATGGTTCATGATGAAGCTGCTTCTCCCAGACTCTAAAGTCTGGCTTCGCTTGGAATCTCTGGCCTGATTCAGCCCCTGAAGATGAGCCTCCTCCTCCTCCAGAACCTATCCACCTCCCAACTAGCTGGCTGATAGATACGTGGCTTGATCTGGATGCCCTCTGGCCTCCTGTGGTCTTTAGTCTCTTCTGCCAATGAATAAAATGGTCTTTATAAACGCCATTGTCATCGCCATTCCGAGCTCATCTGACTCTGCAATCATCTGACTAGTACTCTCTTCTTGGCCCTAAGAAAAGGCCTCTCTCTTCCCCTCTAATAATTTCAGGCATAGAGCCAGGGTTCTCTAAGGTCCATTAGCCCAGCCCCTTTACTTCCTTGAAGCAGAGCTTGCCTTAAATCTACATAGGGTCAGTGTGTGACGGGTTAGGAAGTAAGGTGGACAGGACATGGGACTTTGGAATTTTCAAATTCTCTACTTAAGGTTATTTCTAATGCAAGGGTCACAGACTTTGATAGTCCTTGTCCTTCTGAATCTGTGCCCTGTGGTTCTCAGCCCTAACTGAAAGAATTAGAATCACGTGAGTGAGGTATTACGGATATACATAAATGAGTCCATTCCCTCCTTTTGTCTGTGCTGGAGTTCAGACCATGACCTTCTTATTTATTGTGAGGCTTTAGAGTTCCCTGGCACAGCCAGGGCTGTGAGCCACCACGCGGAGCCTTACAGATCAATGCTTCTCATTCCTCCCTATTTCTGAGCTTTGTTCTTCCTGGACATTTTACAAAAGCAGGATTGGGCTGTGAATTTTATCAAGCACTCTCATGGCTTCTCTGACAGACTCTCTGAAAGTTGTGTCTTGAAACACGTAAGACCGCGTGGTACGTGGGTGGGCCCGCAGTGCAAGGCTTGCGGGGAGGGGGGGGGGGCGGTGTGTGGTCAATCTCGTGCTTACCTGCCCAGGATCTTGCTGACACAGCCATGGCTGACACGGAGCTGGCGCGAGATATCACAGGGCCTCACGCCCTGGTGGGCCAGGTCCACAATGCGTTGACGGACAACTTCCGGCAGAGGCCTGCCATTCACAAAGGCCCCTCCTAACTGATTCAGCCCTCCGTGGCCTGAAAAGACAGGATTGTCAAGGACAATGGTCAGAACCAGGCGCTAAATGGTTGGGTAGAAATAGCCGTATGAGTACCGCGTGTGACCATGTCTGGGCACTCCACGGTCAGTTCCGCCAGCTCTCCCTCTACATGCGCCCCCCACCTTGCTGAGAAACACGCCTCCTGGAAAGGCTGGCCCAAGTGGTACAAGCAGCTCGCCCCATCTGACATGTGAGGATACAAAAGGAGCACATCTCTTGTCTGGTGACCCTTTAGATCCGCTCCATGTCCTCCAGAGCCCAGCCCTTTATGTCAAGTTCTGTCAGTGTTCTCTTTCCCCCATTTTTCTTCATCCGCAGACACGAAAGGAATGAAGGAGTCAGGCTGTTCTTAAGTTGATACACTCAGCTCACTGAGTGACACTGGAGAAAATATCTCTCCTCCCCCTGAAGATCCTTTTTTCATTAAAATAAAGGCACAGGATGAAACGAGCTGTCTTTCCCTTTGTCTTAGGCCTCTTAAACTGCAGAACCTTCCCCCACCCCCTTAGTTTTTAAGACATAGTTTCTCTGTGTAGCCCTGGCAGTCCTGGAACTCACTCCTCAGACAAGGCTGACCTCCAACTCACAGAGATCCTGCTACCTCTGCCACCCAAGTGCTGGGATTAAAGGTGTGAGCCCCCTCGCCCAGCTAGAGAGCCATGTTTTGTAACAAGAACACAAAAGAAGTGCAGAAGAGAGTATCTGGCTGAGGCAGGTCAGAAGGATCTAGGCCCTGTCTGGTTGTCTCTCCTGAGCAACCCCAAGTTTTCTTCTCTCTTTGACAGGTCAGAGAACTGAAAACAGCAAACAGAGACCTCACTAGAAGACATCCGTGAGTCCATAGCCCCGCATCAGGATGGGGTAGAGGCAGTAGAGTAAGTACATGGCAAGCCAAGCCTTAGCTGCTTCCCTGATTGACCTCTCCCCTCTAGACTGAGTCTACACTTCATTCTGATCATACACAGCTAGACAGAGCCATATCTACTGAATGCCTAGTGTGTGACAGGTGCTTTAGCAGGTCCTGAAGCCCCAAGGTGAATACAGCCATTTGCATACTTGCACCCACCTGACGGGGCTTATTACAGTAGGAGCCTAGACCAGCTAATCAGATCCCTCATGACCCTTCCTGGAATCTCCTGCTCAGAGAGGTAATTACTGAATTGGTAGACTCTGTTAGAGACGCACAGAGGGGCTCTTAGAAAAGTTCAGGCTGAGACTCATGACAAAGAAGTGTTAGATGAGAGAAAGGGGATCCTGTTTGAGCCACGGGAATAGTACAAGCAAAGGTTCTGAGGTTGAAAGGGTAGGAGTCTGTGAGATTTGCGATACTTTCAACTCTACGATCCACAGTGGGTTAGTTTCAGAATGGAGAAGTCCAGTTTCCAGAAGACCATAAAGAGCATTTCAGTGGCTTGACTTGAATGACTCAGCTTATGTGAAGAGCAGCCAGAATCCAAACAAAGCTTAGGGCTCCAACCCTTGCTGCCGCTGTATGGGTCCTTGATTGACAGCTGGAGCTGACCCTGTCCCTACAACCTTAGGATGACAGTGTCATTGCCTAGGCATGACTAGCGTCTCTTCACACCAAGGACTGGATCTCGCGATCTAACTTAGCATGGGAAGATCTAAGAACTCTAGAGGTTGGTAGAGCAGAATGGATTGAGCCCAAATGCTCAGGACCCCCTGAAGCTGACTGCAAAGAAGCCAGTATTGTACGGAAAGTCATAGCGAGTCAGCTGGTAAGAAGGGAAAGTTGATGCCAGGCCAGTGTGACCAGTTAACCATATGCATGGAGAAGGGTAGGAAGTGTCTTTGCTGGGCACACTGTGCCCATTATCACCCACTGACTTAGCACATTCGAAACCGCCTCCCAATTTCTCCTCAGGGACTCATAATGTCTTCAACAGAACAGATAATTTCCCTTAAAACAAACAAACAAACAAGGTCAAAAGCCGCTGTCCTGGGCATTAAATCAGGAGGAAAAACGCACTGGCTGCACACCAAGCATGAGGGACATGGTGGTCCATTTTCCAGGTACAGCTTCTTCCTGTCCTGTCCTAGGCCACCTGCCCCAGTGAATACTTTTACATGAATTGGACGATGTCTTGGGGACTTTCAGTCCAGCCCAGGCAATGGACAATGTGGCTCTCGTCTGCTCTTGAACTTGTTCCCCTGACCCCTCACTGGCTATGCTGCCCTTAGTGGAGAAATGGGCCCTCACTCCCTCATCGTTGCCTTTTGACCCCTTGGGGTCTAGACACCGAACACCAGGGCACATCAGACAGCTATCCAAGTGTACAAGACTGTAGGCAGGACTATTTTGTCCCCATGTTCCAGAATTTTTACTACATGAGGCACAGATCTTTGCACTAGAATCTCTCTCTCTCTCTCTGGAAGTCAGGTCTCATATAGAGAGGGGTGTCACAAGTTGAGCATTTTGCCCGAAAACAAAACGAAAAGCACAATCTACTCATGTGGTTCTCCAATAGACATAGCACAAACTATACCCTAAATTATCCTAAGGGCTGACGCAGAATCCTGGAAACCCACATCCTCAGGACCAGACTGAAGCTCACTGCACAGCAACCAGCCACATCTCGGGCCCCCTGAACTGTGACTTCTCTGGGGAGTTATTTTATTGAGGAAGGGCTTGAGTCAGAGTTCTGCCTTGACTCTGTATGTTTTAGTCGTATCATTTGAGTAGATTTGGTTGTTTGGAACTTTGGTATGAAATGGAGCTTAGCAGAATTTCTCACTGCGTCTGCTGGTCACTGCAATGGGAACGTGGGGTGACGGCAGAGAAGCATGTCCTTAGCTGAAAGCCTTGATAGAAATATAAAGGTTTTCATTATAACATCAACACGGTTGAATGCTACCACCCTGGCTTGGCTCTAACGCTTGGGTCATAGTTCTCCAACTGAAACACACACCAGAGTCACAAGAGGGTTTATTGAAGAAAAACCCATTGAGGACAACCTTAAGTTTTTAAATCAGTTGGTCTAGGGTATAACCAAGAATTTGTGTTTGTCGGAGACCCACAACTGTTCACTGTGAAGAGAATGTGTTACTTTGGAGTGTTCAACCTAGAATGGGGCATGTATATAACACCCTCCCCTCAAGGTTCAACAATCTAAGCAGAACGGGGAGGGGACAGACTGTGAGACAGAGGTGGTGGACGACTTCTTGGACAGAGCAGAGCAGCAGCACATGGGAACTCACCTGGATGATGACATCATTCACAAGACCCACACAAACTCCAGCCAGACAAAAGCCCGGCATGGACGAGGGAAAGAGAACAGGAAGTCCCAGTCCTGGCTGGGCATCTACTGGTATTTGACTGCCGACAGGAAAGGCAAAGTTAGCTCTTCAATAGAATGACTCCCAGGAGTAGTCGGCCAACACAAACTGGACCCAAGTGAATTGATGAGCGTGTGTGCACACATACACACACGCACACCACATGTATGCATGCACACACACATGCGTGCGCGCACACACACACACACACACACACACACACATAGATGGGGTTTGGGTGGATAGAGAGGTGAGGAATGATCTGGCCAGAGTTGGGGGAAATCAAATGAATCTGATCAAGATTCGTTGCAGGAAATTCTCAAAGAATTAATAAAAACTTTTTAAAAAGTGTGTTTCTAAGAAGCTTCCAGACTGCGTAAGTGCTGATACTGTGGGACCACTGGTTTAGGCTGGGCATTGGGCAATGGCTGACAAAACAAACAAGATCATATCCTCTCCTCCTCCAACCTTTTACCAAGAATCGTAATCATTACGTGTATTTAATGACTTTCATTTCAATTCAACACATATTAGCAAAATGTCAGTGGTGACTTGAATACAGAGCCCTGTATGTGGAACCTTGAACAAGACATAAATGCTTAAATCCCTTTCAGGGGACACAATCAGATTAATTAGGAACCTCCATGTTAAGATAGAAGTCCCTTGGAAGAGCACACAGGCAATCAGAGAGGAATCAAAGGAATGCCTAGAAAAAAAACAAACAAACAAACAAATGACCATAGGAAGTAGGAAAAGGTTCCTTGCGTGAAGTCATGATGCTTTGACCAAACAGAATGCCACTTACCAACTCTATAGATCGTTCATGAAAGAAAGATTGGGAAGAGCCAATTGGCTGTCTATGAAGGTGGCCTCTATGGGTTGAGGTTTTGAACTGACTTCTGTTATGGAAGGGCCTTTGTATTTTCTGTGTCCGGTGTGGGGGAGTGGACTTTGCTGGGTGATTCACCACCAAATGCCCAGAGGTGGGTGCAAGCTTCCTTCCTGCCCTCAATGAGGGGCTGACATCCACTGTAACTAAGTTCCTTTTGTGCTGCTTTGTACCTTTATGGGCAGGTGGGCCTTAAGGTCGGAAGCCAGTGGTTAAAGCAGGAGCTCCCTGGTTGGTCCAGAGGCTGAGTGGAGGAAAGCAGAAGTCAGGAGGAGGTTTGAAGCATCCCAAGCAAAGGCCTTTTGTATGTCTAGAGGTCTGTGAGTGGGGAGAGGGGGATGTGTAGGAGGAAGCTTGGCTGGATATAAGAAAGCTCATGAGTATGGAGGTCTTCAGATAGGGAAATGCAAGCTTCCCTGATCAGAGAGGAGTTAGCTTGATTGGCAGGCTCTAAAGCTTTAGGTGACGTTTGCTATAGAGCAATATTTGCGGGGGGAAATGACCATTTCAGAAGGTTCAAGGAGACTGGTGATTTCTTCTCTACTTAAAAGGCTCTGAGAAGTAAGGACAGGGGAATGAGACAGAGATCGCTTGAAGCTCGCATTGCATAAACTGATGTTGAACACTTAAAAGAGGAGCACACCTTCCCTGCACCCCCAATCTTTTTCACCCTCACCCATTATCATATCACTGACTTCTGACCAACTGCTTTATCTGTTTGATTTCTTTATGAATTCCTCAAAGGTAGAAGCCCAGGCTTTGTTTACATAGTGCCCGACTCGGGGTCCCTC